TATATATACTTTCTTGTCTATCTGAAAAAAACACTGATGATGAAGAAGCTAAGATACTAATACTCAGATATTTAGTACTGCTTTCTACTGAAGTGGTAAGAAAAAAAAGTGCTTCAAATCTAAAGAAACTAAAACTGAAATAAATGGAGATAAAAGTTACTTCTTTCTGGAAGATGCAACAGTCTGAAGAATAAAGCAACAAAATAAATTTTATACAAACCAGTTTTATTTAACTGAGATTGTGTTATAATCTACATGTTTACAGCTTCATCATTTAGCTTGTTTTAATCAACCTGTGCCTGTGAGGCCTCTGCTCTTCAGTTCTGGAAAGCTTTAAAAACAGGACATCATCCACTTTCAGAGGCAGAAATAAACAACACTGTTCCAGCAGTCAGAACTGGTAACTGATCTACAGAGTCAGGACTAAACCTGACTGCATCATACAGACAGACTGGAATCTAACTGGGACTAAAGTGTGTACTGGTGTCATAAAGGTTCTGTTCCTTATGTCTGTTATTTACTGTGTAAATCACACAACTTTATAGTTGTATCAATACACACAATGTTCTTTAATGGAGTTAAAATATGTTCTACAGCAAAGCAGTAATTTCATAGGAATTACATATATTTACATTTATAAAGTTTCTGTTATTGACCTTTATTTACCACTGTGTAAAAATCACAAAAAGTGCCATAAATCAGTGTATGTATTACACTTACAGTTTATATTTTCACCTTTGACTTTAAAAAGGCAGCACAATTTAATATATTTTTTTGTTTTGTTTTTAGGTACAAACAAGATCAACTCTATTTGTGACCCATCACATTGAAACAANGTGGATCCTGATGTTCAGAACCTGTATGAAAAAATCCTTGAAACAGGAGAAATTATTGAAAGTCCCACAATCAAATTCACTATTGTAGAAGACAAAGTGTACAAAGTGACCAAGCTACCTTACAAAACTCTGCATCAAGTTTATATCCCACTATCCCTCCGTCAACAGCTACTTCAACACTACCATGACAATCCCCTATCTGGCCACCTTGGACGATATAAAACATACAAGCGATTACAAGCCTATGTGTATTGGCCTAAGATGGGTTTGGATGTAAGGGACTATGTGCGCAACTGTAAGGTATGTCAGCTTTACAAACCAGAGAACCGGAAACCATGTGGAAAACTACAACAGACCCTTGTCAACAGACCTTGG